AATTCTCTATCGATATAAAGTGGATTGTTTGTGATCAGCGAAATTCAATAAAATGTTCTTTCAGAAAATCTCAGATAACGATTTTTATATATATATTTTTTATATTAAATTATATTTATACACTTCTAATGTTTAGCGTTAAAAATTGTTAAATAGTTGTTATATTAGGTCTGACAGAGTAGTAATGATAATAAAAATGTATCATTGTTAATAGATCCCAGAACTTTAAACCATTCTGATAGTTTTTAGGTTTTGAAATTCTTCATCTTTGCTTCTGTCTACTAAGGACGAGAAGATCATCAATCAAAATCTTATTTTATGAGACTAACACGTCAAAGTATGTAATTTTAGTATATATTCCAATAATATTAATAATGTTAAAGGTAAATAAGTAGATAATAAAAAGTACATCATAAACGGATTCGAAATATATTATCATGGATTATGAAAACTGAATATAAATGCTGTTCTAGGGATGAATGGATAAAAATTATGAGATAATAGAATAATATTGCATATAATGAACACTCATAAACTAAATGGAAGATTTGAAACTAACTTCACGTGTGTTTCGAACCGAGTTATATTTACTTCCTGTTCTTCAGTGCTATTCTCTATACAGATGTTACAATTCCCATATACCTCTTGATAATTTAATTACTTTTTCCTTTTTCTTTGTATCAGATGATTTTTTATTCTGCAAAACATTAAGAATATTGAGAATCGAAAGATATTCTCGATTATTTTACTTTCTAAAAAAATGATAAACTGGATAAAATAATCCATTAATATCATATATTAGAAAACTTATAAACAATTTTATAATTTACCAATAAATAAATAAACCATATGCAAATCTTAATTTATAAAAATTGACTTTAAAAAGCATTGGATTAGACTAAAATTCCGCAAGATATTAACACGTAAATATTTATACTTGGCTTTAATTTTACCAATTATGATATTTAATGCATTTGATTAGCATATATGAGGAATGGATCAATATATGATGCATTCATCATGCATAAAATAAAGAGTTTTTTATTGATAATATAGAAATATAGAAAATTTTTTATGCAGTAGGAAAATCCCTTCAAAATTTAAATAAATATATAAATACAGTATAATACAGTATAATACAGTATAATACAGTATACATGTATAATACAGTATAGGTATGCAATTAGAAATATGAGTTTAACTTTCGACAAGAATCTTATCCTGAATTTATATTCGTCCCTATTATCTCAATACAGGAATATATTAATACTTCAAATTTATTTTTCTATATCGTATTCAATTTATATTTTAGAAACAAAATATTGAATAAATTAATAAACACTTTATTAGATATACAATACGGTTGTACTGTACGTGAGGAGAAACCTCCTAAAGGATAGGATAAGAAGGCCGTGAACAATATAATGCGACGGGATCTCATCTTGATCTCGTAAAGAACAGAATAACTGTCGCTGAAAGTGAACATCAAAACTGAAATCTGGCCGAATAATCCTCTCGGATCAATTTTATAGTATTCGATTTGAACACGGAGAAAAAAACTTTACAAATTTATTATAAAAAATTGGCAAAATACGAATTAATTGTAAGTGTAAATAGACATATTTATATAGAAATGTTAATAAATGCTAATTAGGATAATCTATCAATCATTCTTAATTAGTACTAAGAATTTACATTTATATAATCATATTATAAGTTCTATAAACTGTACCGTACACGCTACCAGTTTCTACATAGCGTGCATGAACTTCCATTTCGAATTACATTAACGGCTTTATATAAAGACCAATAGCCAATTTCTCAAACTGATTATCGAAAAATAAGTAATATGAATCTACATTAATTCGGAGAAATCGTTTAATTTATTATTTTACTTATTTTTTTTTACGAATTTCGTTGTTTACATTTACATTTCGTAGGTTGTTTCTGTTCACTTTCTGTTTACTTCTAAAGTTAAACATGTCTTTCGACAACAAATAGTCTGGTTTCTGTGTGACCGAAATTACAAGTCAAATACTTAATTAAATAGGACATTGGAGTTAAAGTTTAATTTGTAATATTAGATTGTTGAATTAATATCGGAGATTGATACACTAATGTCGATTTTAATATTAGACTACTTATCAGTGTATTAAAATTTTATATAAACTTGAGTTATTGCAATGCTTAATATCGATTCTACGTCATATGCCAATTGGGATATTTTGAAGAAAATTATTATTAAAATTAAATTTTAAATTATTTTTAGTTGCATAACTTATTTTTTTATAAATTATGATAACTCATTAATATTGATGAAGATGAAATAATGAAGTATTTTCTGACAACTAATTTGCTTTAACATGTTTATCAGCTAAAATTTTTAAGAGAATTTATTCAAAATTTTGATATATTAATTTAAATTACAAAATTCTATAACCATTAATTTATATTTTGAGAATGTAGCAGAGAATTTGTCAGTTTTTTTTTAAAAATAAATATATCTTTATTATTTATAACATTAAATTTTTATGAACTACTTTTTATTTAGCAACTTTAATTACTTTCTTTTGTCTTTTAACATGTAAAAGACAAGAGAAAGTAGTTTTTTGAAAGTGAAATTTATTCATTTCTCAACTATTTTAAGTTTATTTTGTTCACCTTTTTATAAATTTAAATCGACATTTGCGTTTTACATAATTTACTTTCGTAATTTGCACATAAAATTTTGTAGAATAACATTTTGTTTCTTTCGTGCAATTATTTTTCTTTTTTTAATTTTAAATTTCTATAAAAATGCATTCGTGCATCTTAACTATTGTCTAATAAAGTGAAAAATCTAAAAATTATATAAATTAATTTTATATTTAATGGATTTATTATAGTTATTGCATTAAATACTTTTAAATGGACGGAAATTATAAGTATTAAATGCTTAAAAGATATAAAAATTTTAATTATTAATGTTAGAAACACATTATAGTATTAATATTTAAATGCACGTAATTTAAAAATATAAGGGCATTAATTCAACAGAATTAATTATTTGAAATAAATTTTAATAATCATTGTAATTTAAAATGCTTATTTTAAATATTTTAAACTATTATTCTCTTTGTTTTTGTACTCCAGTTCATAATAAATCAGTTCAATAAAATAATAGAAAATACTTTTATATTTTTAATGGCAATAAATTAAATTAATGATAACATTATTGCATTACAATTACTCTGTCAATCATTATAATTTCTAATAATTGCCATTAAAAATTTATTTATTATAATAAAAGAAACGTAATAATAATATTTTTTATTTTTAAAACAAAAATGAGATGTTTTCTATTTATCAAGAAAAAATATTGTTTTTCAGTGGTAAAAATAATAGAAAAATGATTCCATTTGTAAACAAATGGACCGAATCATCTCGTTATTTTCAGTAAAATTATATACTTTAATGCAAAAAAACTCTATTTTCTTACATTTAAAGTATATAATTTAACTGATAAAGCCATTTAAACCATAACTAATGTAATTTTTTTATTTTATATGTGATAAAATAAATAAATTTAATTAATATTCTACTTTATTAAAAAAAGTCCTGTTAATTTTACTGTTTTATACAGTAAAATTATATAATTCAATTCGTATCAAATTAAACTTTCACTACAAGATTTATTAATAGAAAATAAACGAATTAATCTCATTAATTTCTTATTAATCTGTAGGAATCAATTGGCGATAAATCAAGATTTAGGAATTCTTGCGTGATGAGAGAGACAGAGAAAATTAAGTAAATATTCCTCATCGGGTTCTGTAAATTAAATAAACACACATGGGGACTTAGAAAAACAAACCTATAGAAAATTATACTAAATGTTAATTGAAACGGATCGATATTTATAATCTGGTTTATTTCACAAAATGAAAAGTAAATAGCAACATTGTTAACAAATTTCAAATGCTACAACTTATATATTTAAATATATAATCCATATGTTTTCTAATGTGGAACTAGGACACTGATCTTGACACTAAAATTGATGTAACGCCATTTTCTTTGCACTAAAATGGGACCCGACAGCTATTTTATGTCTCGTTCTTCTCCCAACTCTACCACACAAGAAGACAAATAATTCAAGAAAAAATTAATAGTATAATATTATTTTTTTTAAAAAGTATATTAAAGATTTTCAAAATAAAAAAATTATATATATATAGGATAAAGTTATTTATCGATTGCAATAAATCTTTAATCGTGCCAATTTCTNACTCTACCACACAAGAAGACAAATAATTCAAGAAAAAATTAATAGTATAATATTATTTTTTTTAAAAAGTATATTAAAGATTTTCAAAATAAAAAAATTATATATATATAGGATAAAGTTATTTATCGATTGCAATAAATCTTTAATCGTGCCAATTTCTTTTATGTAACGATAAGAAAATTGAAGGTCAAACAAATTGAACTTCATCCTTGATTTATTGACGTAGCTTAATAATTCACGCGGAATATAAATTTATAATAAAAAAGCGAGGTGTTTACGTTCTAAATAATAAAATAATCTGTATAAAAATTTACTTAAATTATACATTTTTTTATAAATTGCCCAAATAAATTGCATCTTTTTATTTATATTCCAGCGCTTCCTGGATTAAATTTTTAATGAAATTAATAGCAATATTGATTTACATACGTGTTTTAATTAATTTAAAATTGTTTTTACGTGTTAATCTTATAAATTAGATAAAATTTTTAAATTTTAATAGCAGATTTCCAGTCATTAATTTCTAAGGATGTTAAAAGATATCATAAAAAATTAAAACCGATTTCAGTGAGGTAAATAAGAAAAATTGTATTGTTTTCTCGATTCCAATACAAAAATTGATTTTCGAAAAATAAAAAAAAATTGTAAAAAAAGACATTATGAAAGTTATTCTATTTCCCGAAAGTAACATCATACCCAGCGCCCGTCGTGCCCTCTAGTGGGTAATAAGCGAATTATTGTATCAGTTCTTTCGGGTCTTGCAAGTGGTTTGGTCGTCTCAAATGAGTGTCGATTGAAGCAAAAACATGGACAGTCGATCAAATTCCACCCTGAAAGAATATTTAGAGATTAGACTTGGCCCACAACATTTACCCTCCTCCGTGGTTGTACCAATTACAGTTGTTTATGTTTTAATATTTATCAGTGGAGTGATCGGTAATGCTGTTGTATGTTTAGTGATTGCAAGAAATTCGCAATTTCAAACACCCACAAACTATTACTTATTCTCATTGGCCATTTCTGACTTACTAATTCTAATATTTGGTAAGTAGTTTAATTGATTTTTTCACATTTAAAATGAATTATTAAATATGCTTGAGGAGTTTGGAGTATTGTTATTAAGAAGTTTAAAGTATCAAAATTAAATATACATCAATTGAAATAGTTTAATAATAATAATAATAGTAATAGTAAGTAATAAATTTATTGTATAGTAGATTGAGAAAAAAATTTGTTTATTAATTAGCAATTATTCTAAAATTATAAGTCTCTTCAAGGGCACTTAAAACTTAAAATTTTTAAACCGGTTGCCAAAAGTCACGTGCTAATATGTATCGTTTTTTTATTATCTTTTTATTTTACGTGTGAAGTTATTATCCAATCAGGAAACGCATCTCACTCGAGAACGAACGTGCACGCGAAATAGATATTTTGTCGATTTCAATTTCGAATGAAATCGACAATTTTCGAAAAACACGTGTTCGGAAGACATTTTTTTTTCTGTAATTGATGAAGAGTATATTTAGAGATAATGACGATATTTTTCAAAATAAAAAAAGAAGTCAATACTTAGTGTCATTTGGAACATATTTTTAACTTTGGCTAAAGAAGTTGAAAATCATTAAATGTGATCATGATAAAAATATATATATATATTTTTACTAATAAATTTAAACCAAATTCAAGAAGTGAATTTTAAAGAGTATTTTATTTTTATTTAAATTAAAAAAAAAAAATCTTCGTTACATCCTCTGATACCAGGAAAATAATAATTTTTTTAGTAAAGTATGAAGTAGATAGTGCCAAACATATTTCGTCATCTTGTTTCTGGTCAAAATACTCATAGATAAGTGTAAGAAATTTCATCAAGCTTTCTATAACATTAAAGTTTCTGGCCCGGAAACAAGTCGAAGAAAATTGTCAATCTGTAAAGCATTTTCGTCTTAAATAAAGGAAGACAATCGTAAACAAGACTTTAATAAATTAAATTCAGTGCGAAGATCAAGAAATACTTAATATAATTCGAAAGATTCGTGACTGTAACGTTGACAAATAATAATAATACAGAAAAGAAAAATCTATATCGACGTATCTGAAAATAAATTGATTTCCACGTGGAATGTATTGGTTGCGATTATCTTACATTCTGTTTCGAATATATATATATTTTATTAATCTAAAAATATGTAGTTAAAGGTTAATACCCTCGTTTAAAGGATGTTTAACTAACCATTTCACGTTTTCAAATTTAATTGTTGTTGTAATTATGCTAATTACGCTTTGGTTTGTCATTATTGTGGAAGTAATTGATCTCTTGTTTCCTCTTACCATTTAATGGAATTTTTTTCCCTGTTTAAATGTGTCGAAATGATCGATTTTACTGCTTTATTTTCGCTTTTCATAGTAAATTGCTAAATTATACTTTATCTACTTTGGATACTTTTCAAATTTTTAATTAAGATAATTTAATCCTATTATAAAATTAAATTAAATTAAAAATTGTTAGTTAAATAATAGAATTGAATTAGTAATAAGCTAAAAGCAAATAGCTTCAAAAAAAGAAAACGTTGCAGAATATTTTTAAAAAATTAATATTGAAAACTTCATGATTTTATAATTTATAATTCATATTTCCATAAAATATTTTCAAATTCAAACAATAAAAATTGATTTTAAACTTATAAAAATTGTATTTTGTGCGACTTTGGCATAAATTACATTTCTAATATTCAGTATTTCATTTTAAATTCTTCATCAACGTCAAAAATTCTTTTGATTCAATCACTTAACATATATATATGTATTTAAATATTTAATTTTCTAACAAACTTACTTACAATGATATATTTAAGTCTATTATATTTTGGAGTTATTTAATTAATTAATTTATTTTCATATTAAATAATTTAGTACGCTTCTATTTCTAATCTTAAACTATAATCACTATCATTCAAAGATCCTTAATGCTTAAAATCAATATTTTTACTAAATTATAATTAATGTTTATATTAAAAAAATATATAAATATGAACTCTATCGTTAGATACAATGTATCATAAATAAATAAAAATGTGATGTCAAAATAAGTTATCGTTTTTATCAAAATCGAACCCATTTATCTTCCTATGCATTCACTTTCAGTCGAGCACGAAATTATGCAAACAAATTATAATGAAATTTATATTAATTATAAATGTATTTTTGCTCTTTCAGAGATGAATTATTTTACAATTTTTCAAATTTTATGATAATTTATTAAAGAGATCCTAAGTGGCGCGGTAAGAATTGAATGTCCTTTGTTCCTGAATGCGAGATCAACATGATAAACGGCGTAACAGAAGATACCATTTTGGAATTCATAACATGTTCCTTACAAAGGAATAAATCACATTTTTTTACATTGAGTACGAGTGAAAATTTTTATCTGTAACGCCCATATGATAAAAAAAATGTACATATTTTACAATTTATCCATATCTGTCTTTGTTTTTTGTACTAAGAAAACATTTTCTAGAGAAGAAAACAAGGTATAGAAGTCGAGTCTATTTATTTTCTGCATGTATCTCTTCTTCAGTTAGTTAGGTGCTACATAGAGCGTATGAATCACGAATTGTCAGCATTTTTTTGGTACATTTGACACAAAAGTGACAGTCGGTGACATAAGAGGGACGAAACTGTTTCAAATAATAATCATTTCTGAAAAATACCATCTTTTTCATGCTATTTTAACCTCTTCTATTTTAATAATCGATATATTATACTTTTAAATAACATTAACTGTTGATACACTTGTAGTTTTTATGAAGATTTAAATAGTATTTACTAAAGAAAATTTAGATTTGAACTCGAGTTTCTCGGATTTTATGAAATGTAAATTTTGTCCTTAATAGTTGTAAATAATGAATATTTCAGATATTAAGACTCTATTCAATTATTCACGTAACAGTAATTTATTGTTACGGACGAAAATAGCACATGCTAATGAGAAAAATCTATATCTTCTATTATTAGAATGTTTGTTATTAAAAATACTTTAAGTGGACCTAATTTCCATTTTTAGTAATTCTATTTAATCTAAAAAGAAGAAAATTTAATATATTTTTTACAAATAAATAACGCTAACTTAGAAATGTAGCTTTTTGTTTTTCCTCTATTTTTTTGCGTGCTGTTGTATAAATAACCGGTGACACCCGAAAAATCTGTTGTTTAAATCTTAAAGTTGATATATTTTTAGAACGTGAATCAAGTTTCAATTAGAGAAAGATATAGATGCGTGTAGTGCACAAGCCATTGTATTTTAAATTCTATACGAATCTCGCTGACACACCTGCCAATATATTCTGTACTATCTTTACGAGGATTATCAGTAGATATTGAATGAAGAAAATGATCAATACTCTTCCAATAATGATATCTAAAACTTTAATTTATATTTATCTTAGTACGCAATTTAAAAATTTCGATAGTAATAGGTGAATGGACGAATTCTTGAAAAATAATATACGCTTAAGGCAATAAATTATTAACAAATGTTTTTATGTTTACTGGAATTTTATCGATAAAATAACGAAATAGTTTTTCTAGTTTATATTATAAACATTGGAATATTTCAATAAAATATATTTTATTATTTTTCTTTCTGCATAAACTAAGTCTTTTATAAAACATTACGGTTTATAAGAATAAAAGTATAAAACTTCTCAATAATGTTGAAGTAAGTTTACATTTTGAAACTTTGTAAGAGAGACCATAAAGTCGAAATTGGGTTTTAAATTTCTCAAGGCATCCAAACACGGTTTTAACTCCCCCCTGCAAGAAGATTACAGGGAAGTTAACTTTCTTGTTTACATCCTGATCGAAAAAATCTTATCCTGTTTATCTCCCTTTGGTGAAATTTTATGGAATTGGTGCATTTTACATGAATATATAAAAATCTAATTATTCTCGTAAATAAAAGAATTACTGGAACGTGACAACGTCGACTGTTAGGTTACGACGAAGTCTATAATTGTTGCTACGCTATAAAGGGCGTAACATGTTTAATATCATTTGTTATTGGAATTCAGATCAACATGTAAATATATTAAATACACCTAACATAAATTAGGATGTTTAAACACGAGAAATATTGAATCTACATTAAATTTTCTATTGAATTAGACGACGAGACTATATTCTTTTATTCGTCTTCTATTACGATCAATATCATATAAATTTTATTATCGAAGAAATGTCTTATTTATCGAGTTCTTTTGGTATATATTATTGATGTTTATGTTTATCGATATTTATCATTATTTACTTACCAGAAAATATATTTTAAAGTAGTATAAATGCATTAGTAGTTTGTAGAAACTGTATAAGTATATGGCAGATTCGTTACACAAAATCTTATTTACTTAAAGTCAGTATCTAAAAAGGAAGACAAATACCAATTTCCTGATAAATATATATTTATTTATTCAAATATAATTAAAGAAAATGAATTTGATAAACTTCAACTCGTTAATATCAAGCAAGAAGAAATTTTGAAAATGTTTTATATGCTTCGTTAATTTTCATTTACTTATAACTTTTTTTAAAATAGAGAAAATTAATCTCTTTTGTTTATACGAAAGAAATTAATTTGCGGTTTCATTTAATTTAATATTTTAATTTACTGAGCGTTACTTTTGATTTTTAGCGACATTTATCATAGAAGATTGCGTTAGGCGATTATGTAAAATAGGAAATAAAAGTAATGGTTATACGAAATAAGTCGAACATTTGTTTGATTTTTAAAAAATAGAAAGAGGATTAAAGAATCTACATATTTTAAAACAGTATTAACATATAAAACAATATTTTTCTAACAGAATTTATGCGACAAAACAATAGACTGAAACGATTTTTATGCCATGTTAAAAGTAAAAAAAAATACTCTTTATTTAATTATTTTACTTTAAATCAGTCAAACAAACATAAAAAAGTACATCAAAAATGTTTGTAAACTATGATTAAAAAAAGCTCAGAATTACAAATGATTTTCAGATAAAAATTCGATG